CAGTGTCTTCCTGCACACCCAACGTTTTCGGCTCTTAATGAAACACGATTGCTTCATTATGAAAACAAAGACTTTCAAACGTCTTTCTCTACCGTCACGCTCAGCATGGAAGAATCAAATTGCTACATCATGGATTATAGTGTGCTAGATTGTTTGATTTAAAAATTGCTGTTTCAGTTGCTGGCCAGACTTTTATACCACAAAAATGTCATTATTTTTACCCTGGGATTAGAGCAGGGATTTTTAACTTTTCTAACATTTCTCCCATTTTTTTGTACTATGTATTCTTGTAAAGCAACATTCTCACCATCTCATATTACAAAGTCAAGATATACATCAACTTACAGTATTAAATATCTGGCTAAACTTTAAATTTTTTACATATATACCACATATATACCATATATATATATTTACATATATACCACACCATGTTTGTAAGTACATTTACTTTACTTTCATTTTAAATAAATGGTGAAACAACACACATAGCACATGATTATTTTAGAATAAATTTATTTGTGAAGGTCAGTACATGTTTGATTTGTATAGATATGTTATATCCCTAGATACCCATAGTCACATAAAATTTTCTTGAGGTGGAAAGGGTCATAAACAGAAATAGTTACAGAGTCCCCATGGTACATCAGGTGTGACTGAGGAACATTACAGATGGTGCTCTGTGTTACATAACTTTAGAAATTGGTGAGGAATGTCCTTTGAAGAAGTCGATCGTTTGTACAGCTGAGCTCTGGTGTCACAGACTTGGCTTGGGCAATAGCACAGTTTCTGTCTTTCTTCCAGGACCCCTGGTTTATGTGGTAGTGGGGAGTCAAACCCTGGGCTTCATGCACAGTGAACAAGTACTCTATCAACCTGGCCACATCTCCAGTGCTTGAGTTAAGTTTTTGAATATTGACATTTCTTCTTGCAGGCTTGATTTTGCTAATGGTCCAATTGATATCAACAGTCATTGGTTTACTGAGATATTATAGAGGTATGAAGTGGATTTGAAATGGACATGTCTCCAAAGTTTACCTGGTAGTGGTAAAATGTTCACATTTTTAATTTCATATGAAATCCTGTACATTTCATTTATGTTTCCAGTGCCGGGAATGCCATGAAATGGATGCTACACAGGAGTGCTGTATATCCAGTTCAGACAGCTTTCTTCTCTGCACCATATGGTTGAGTGTGGTAATTTAAATTTTTGGAACTAATTGGCTCTTAACAAGTGTTTTCAGAGAACGCCATACCCTCCCAGAGATATTTACATATTTCTGTTTGTTGATGCTCTATTCATTATAGCAAAGAATGGCATCAGCTTAGTTGTCCTTCCACAGATGTCCTTCCACCGTGGGTAGTAGAAATACGGTATATGTAAAGATGGAATATTATTCAGCTCTAAAGAAAGATGAAACCACAAAATTTGCAAAGATATGGCTGGACTTAGAATGTATAACATTTAGTGAAGGAGGTCACACAATCTCAGGAAGAAAAAATCATACTGTAGTTGGAAGATTTCTCCAGTCCCCCCTGGCCCCTAGCAGTCCATCTTGCAGCAGGCTTAATATTATTTATAACTGCTCGGCCATTAGCTCAGGCTTATTACTGACTAGCTCTTACACTTAAATTAATCTATAATTCTTATTTATGTTTAGCCACGTGCCTTGGTACCTTTTCTCAGTTCTGCCTTGTCATCTTGCTTCCTCTGTGTCTAGCTGGTGACTCCTCACTTAGCCTTCCTCTTCCCAGAATTCTCTTCATTTGCTCATCCCAACTATACTTCCTGCCTCACTAGTGGCCAATCAGCATTTTATTAAACCAGTGTACAAGAGCACCGTACATGTTCTCCCACATAAAAGCATGGTAGCCTAAAATGCAAATATCTCTATAAGGAAGCAGATGGGCATAGTACAACATTTAGAGAGGAGAACAAGAAAGGGAAATTTAAAAGAGAGAGAACATGTACTGGGGAGTTTATACCATTTACTTTCAGTGAGTCTTGAGAGCTCTCTCAAGGTGATACATTTTCAATGCAAAATAAGAACTAAAATGGTCAGTGTCCACATGCACTTCCATGAGGGCGGTTACCTGACTGGGAGACCTGAATTCTAAATAATGTTTTTATTGACTGTTCCTCTGTAAGAACTGCTGAACTTGGTGTATTTTATTTACAAGCAAGAATTTTGGCTATTCAAATAGAGTGTCAAGATTATTGGAAGGATGTTTAAAATATCATAATTTTGAAAATCCTGGGACTCCCTGGGCATGCTGATCGATTATCACTGTCTGTCTCAGGAGTGGCCGGGCCAGGCATTTGAAGACACTCAGACAGACACTCAGACATTTGTTTGTTTGTTTTTCACTGTATGTTCTAATTCTAAGACGTGTCATTGTTGATCAATAAGTGTCCTTAAAAAAAGAATGATTTCAGAAAAGCGATTGGAATTAAAAGAAAAAAATGCAACTTGCTCTTCCAATAAAATTCAGCATATAGTTAGAATGAACCCAAACAGCTGGTGGAAGAGCCGCTATAAAATAACGCTGATGGCGGCTCAAATACTGACGCTTTCCCTCCATTTTTGGGATTATGTTTTGATGCCATTACGGGACAATGACTTATACTTATCTTGAGCCCCAAATGAAAAGATCATTTAACAATTGACTTTTATTTTTGCCTGCGGTGTCCCCGCTTGTCTGCATGAACACAATGTGCACAGTGTCCCCAAGGGAGTCAGAAGAGGGACCTCAGAACCCCTGGAACTGGAATTCCAGTGGTCGTGAGCCACCCTGTGGGTTCTGGGAACTGAACCCGGGTCCTCTACAAGAGCAGCCATTGCATTGAACCACTGAGCCATCTCACAGGAAGTAGTGGAGAATGTGACCAGCAGAGGGGACGCCCCTGGGGTGTCTCTGAGGTATCCTGTTTTGCTCCTCCACAAAAACAGGAAGCTCCAAGTGGAATGGGGTCACTATGTGACAGGTGCCGGTACATCCCGGGGGGGAGGGGCACTTGGTAAAATTCCATCTAAAAAGCGTGTGCTGACCAAAGCAGGAGATGAAGCCAAGAAAACGATTGCGTCTGAGTGTCCTTCAGCATCACCTTGGATATTAAGATTATTACTCACTCATTTGTAATGAGCATTTCGTCTCCTCCCACAACTAATGTGGCAAAATCCTTCAGGAATCTGCAAGGCCGGCCATCCTTCATGAACAAGCTGTATGTTAAAAAAAAAAAAAAATGTATTCATGTCAGCAAGATGGCTGGGTGGGTAAAGTTACCTCTAAGCCTGACCAGCTCAGTTTGCTCTGGGTGGCTCGGTGGTAGAACTGACTGTGGAGTCTTCTAACCAATCTCACAGGCTGTGGTGTGCGTGCCTCCCCCCCCCCCGCCCCCCTCCCCGCACACACATGCACACTCACACAAATAAATAAATTAAAGTGTAATAAAAAAATTAAAAACCGTGCTCACATAAAACAAAGTCATTTTCTATTTTCCAGTCCCCAAAGTTAATTTGGTCCTTGGATGATTTCCAGATAAGGCTCTGACATATCTCTAAGGTAGAGTTAAAGTTGTGAATCCTCTTATTTGGAGAAAGATTGAAAAAGATACGCCTTTATACAGAAAGTAATTTAGCAATCATTTTCAGAATCCATTTCTTCTCTCTCTCTCTCTCTCTCTCTCTCTCTCTCTCTCTCTCTCTCTCTCTCTCTCTCTCCCTCAGATATTGCTTCTGGGTCCAGACTGGTTTTTCTGGCTTTATCCCAAAGCGAGATTTCAATTGTGCTGATGATACCATAATGCACCCACTCTCCCCCAAGTGGGAGAGTGGAACAGGAAAGCCCCGTTCTTAGGGCAATTACCCACTACATCCCAGATGGAGCCCTGACGGCAATGTCAGCATGGTCATGTACGATAAACTCATGATCAGCCGCAGCCACATGATCCCGAAGGCTAAAGACAAATATTCACTAAGAAAGGAAACTTCTGAAGAAAAGCAAAAAATAAAATAAATACCACTGTCAAAAGGACTCCTGTAAACTATCTCCAAATTGACCCCTTTTGGATCTGTAGGAGGGAAAATGATCTTTTTCTTTTATCTTTATTAGGTTCAGAAGCTGGGGCGGCAGTGAGGAGACAGATTAAGCCGAGATCACATACAAACTTACTTCATATTATTTTTTAGGTGACCCCAAGGAAGAGAGAAGCCTGCATGTTTTGGTAGTAGACTTGATGAAGAGTGAAGAATCAGGGAAACATTTGCTGGGACGATGTGCAATAAAAACAGAAACACTACGCAAAGCTGGGTGGGGACTGCCAAGGCCTCAGCTCAGGCTTCTCGGCCGCCAGCCCATCCTTCCTCGGGATAGAGACGCGGCTCTCAGCGGCTGGTGAGACCAGCGTTAGAGACAATTCTTTATTTACTCACTGTGCCATGGTGCCGTAGATTAGCATCGTGTGCTCCCACCAGTCGAACTCAAGTTTTCTTTCTTAAAAAGAAAACATTAACAGAATTAATACTTTTAAACTATTGGTTAAAAAGAAGGAAAAATTAATTTTTTTTTCTTAAAACGAAGAAATCAACAGTGGTTTTTTTTTTGGGGGGGGAAGACTCAAAAATATACCTTCAAATATGAGTTGGGGTGGTGTGCAAACAACCCAAAACACACAGATTATTTATTTTTTTAATTTTTGTTTTTTGAGACAGGGTTTCTCTGTGTGGTTTTTGGTGCCTGTTGGCCTCGAACTCACAGAGAGGCACACTGCCTCTGCCTCCCGAGTGCTGGGATTTAAGACGTGCGCCACCGCCGCTGCTGCCACCGCTAGGCCAAATGTACAGAATTTTAAAGGGACAGTGAAATGTCATCTCTCACTTGGTTCATTTTATAATGATAAGACTCTTAAGAGAATTGCATAGGAGGGGGGGCCTGTGCATTGGTGCGCATGCGCCTCCCCTCCCGCCCGTGCAAGCGCATCCGGGAAGCTGGCCCTGCTCACAGACGGTGGAGCTGTCTCCAGGTTGGTCTGACATTCCTGACTCTCCTTTTCCCTCTGCTGCTAGCTCCTTCCCTGATGGCCTTCCTCTGTTCCCCCGGAGGGAGGAGGCTTATTTATGTTGCAGATTCAAGACTTCGCTGTCCAGGACGAACCCATGCTCCGTGTTTACAGAACGAGCAAGCCGGAGCGCCGCGTCCCTTTGAATTGGAGACGATGTTCACAGGCTTTTCTCTTTTTCCCCCCTTTGAGAACAATTTCTCTTCTTAGAAACTCGAGGCTTTCCTTTTTCTCCCTTCAGACTTTAAAAACTCCTTTACTCTAAGGAGAATAAAATTGTTTGACCAAACTTACTTCCCTAGCAATTTCAGAGGCGTCGGGCGGTGAACACCGACAGCGCCTTTCTTCCCCTCTTCAATTGCCCCCAGGGAAATGGCACAGGTGAGCAGCTGGCCTGTGGTGGGACACACAGCCGGGTTGCCTGGTGTGGTGATTAGTGCCCTCTGTTGGGTAAAATTGGGTTTGCTCTAATCGGCTAGATCATCTTGCCCTCTAGTGGTCAGAAAAAAAACACTGGAAACGCCGAAGGATCAGGGCCAGTATTTCTTCCATGTTTGTGAAATACAAAAAATTCCAACCGAAACCATGGCGTGACAGCAACTCTAACTTAAGATGCAACTTACAGTGATTGCGTCTCCACGTTCATTTGTGGACAGGCCAATAGGATCGTGAGCGTTAAACTGATCTGCTGTCTGGCAAGAAATAACACAGTTCAACTTAGGTGCGTGTTTTATGGGTGGAGGATGGATCCCATGGCCGTTTGCAAACTAAGCCTGTGCTTTGCCGCAGAGCTGTGTGTCCCGGGACAGCATCCCGTTTTGTTGAATAAAAAAAAAAAAAGACCATTTAAAAATTTTTTCTTAAGTGATCCATGAAAAGATAGAACTGTACCTATCCATGGAATGTCAGCTTACGTTGCAATATGCGTGCACATCATGTAAGACAAAAACCAGCCACCTTTATTTCCTCAAACAGTTCTAATTTCTTCTTTCGTGTCCCTGGTGAAAGTTAATATTAAATTCTTACTGTGTACTACGAACTATATTTCTTTCACCCTTTATCCATCGTGTGGCCGCCAGTCCACGATGAAATCTTGGTGTCGGGATCACACTGAAGAAGTAGGCGGCGTGGTGAAGTTCAGGAGCGCCGTGTCAGGGTAAGCGGCCGTGAAACCAGAAAGCCGGAATCGGGAGCTTCAGTTGACAGGTTCTGATGCTCAGGTGGCGCCGGTTATCCCGAGATGACAGGCTTGAAGTGAGAAGCTTCTGTGCTTTTCATCTGCTGCTAAGTGCCTGGGAGGAGGCTTCTAACTTCGCCCGCGAGGTAAGAACCACCTCTCCGCTCACCTGCGGAATGTCGACCTACCTCTTTGACCTCGTCTGCTGGACTCTCATCGCCAGGATTCAGTTCATTGTGAGTTCCAGTTCATCCTTTTTATTCATTTATTTTACTTTTTCCGTCTTCTTCTAGAGTTTCATGGTCGCATCCTGATAGTTTTCTTCATTGTGGTGGGTTTTATACCTCTGATTATCTTTTTTATTCCCAAGTGAATATGTTTAGAGATGGAGAGAGGCGGGTGCAGGTAACCCTCCACTTTCCTGAAATAGATGTCCCAACGAAAAGAAAGGCCATTGAGAGTAGACAGTGACGCTGTGGCTCAACAAATATGTATTTTAATTCCTCCTATCATTGAATTAAGCACCTTATCGTTATTGAAATCTAATGACGGGATATTAAAGTCCTCTCTGCTGTCACCTTGCCAGGAGTCATTGCCTGGCATAATTCATGCCATGTCATAATTCTGATTCCCGATCGTGCTTGGCCGTCCTCACTGAGCAATTCTTGGAGGAGCAATCCACACTTCTGAAAAATTCTGCTGTGCTGGAAACCGCTTCTAATACAGAGGTATATTATTTTTCTCAGCTTTATCCTCAAATTCACATTTATCCATTAAATTAAAATTAAAATTATGCACAGCTAAGTGATTCTACAGACACTTGAAATTTGACATAAACTAGTTTTCAAATATGTGCATGAGAACATTATCTCTGGGGACAGGATTCACCAGTGTTTTTTTTTTTTTCCCTAACATTCTCAATTTATAAACGTTCAGTAAAAGCTAAATGCTGTTGGTCTTAATGTAGCACAGAGAAACCTTACTTCCTTTAACTGCTCACGGTGCTATACATATCTGACAATAACTACAATCCATTTTTCTCTTGGTCACTTACCAAATGAAAGATCCAGAGTTATCACAGGACAAGGTTCTATGGCTATCTGAATAGGGTTTAGGTTTTTTTGTTTGTTTGTTTTTGTTTACTTGTTTTTTTTTTATTTTTTCAAGACAGGGTTTCTCTGTGTAGCCCTGGCTATCCTGGATCTATCTCACTCTGTAGCCCAGGCTGGCCTCAAACTCACAGAGCTCTGCCTGGCTCTGCCTCCCCAGTGCTGGGATTAAAGGTGAGCGCCACCGCCCAGCACAGGTTTAGGTTTTTAATATCTGAATCTTTAGTCATGATGAAACTACCATACCCATAAACACAGTAGTCCATTATCAAAACAAAATAGTGAATCCATCACAATAGAGAACTTCAACGATGGGATTAAGACACTTGTTATTGTTCTGAAGTGGGATGAACAAGATAATACAAGAGGTGTTCTCTGTCATCGATTGGACTTCCTCCGTAATTAAGACTGGAGTAGGGTTTTTCATGTCACAGGCAAGAATCTATGGGGAGCAAAATTTCTCAGATAGTGTTTAGAAAGCATACAGCTTGGTATAATACTGCCATGATTTGGGGGGACAGGAAATTAGGACTCGCCAGAAATTTGATGTTTCTATTTCTACAGCATTTAATTTTCCAATTTCCTTAAATGATGAATACTAACATTGCCCCAAAACTTAAACATTGGTTAGACCTAAATTCACATTAAAGATCACTGTTCATTGTTTCAGAATTAAGATTTTTTGTTTTGGTATGTATACTTTTAGGATGGAAAACATTTTTTGACCTGATTGCTTATCATTATAGTTTGAAGGTCATTTCATGAGAGTAAATGTAGCAGCAGTTTATTTTAAATTCCCTTATAATATCCACTATCTGTATGTATTATAGTTCATAATGCATAAATGTATCCATTCTTTCCTGTTTTTCTTCCTTAAACTGCAGTGTAGTACTAGCCCCGTGAATACATATATGTAATAGTTATATATAATATACCTTTCATATATAGTAATTTATATATGGGATAGTTGGCTCTGCCTCTGTCTCCGGATAAATTCATACTCCTAACCACAGTAAATTAGAATCTTTTCTTTTTCACCACAGGCTAAAGCGGGGAATCAAAGGCCATTTCAGTTTCGCTAATCAGTTGGATAAATGGTGGCCGAGGTCCTCCCCTTATAACACTTCCTCCATTTTTGAGATGCCCTGTTGTGAGAGACCACCCTGTCTGTCCAGCGGCAATATCAGGGTCAGCGCGAGTCTTCCTGAATCCAAGCCATGCGATCCTGTGAGTGTTGTTAAAAGAATTCAGAGTGCTGAAACTGCGTTTGCTTGATTGCTGGACGCTGCACAGAGATGGACTCAATCCATCTCGATAAAGAGCAACTGTGTCCTCAGACCCTACGGAGGTTCTGGAAACATGGATGCCCATTATAGTAAATTCCCAGTTATGGGTTATCAGGGTGAAAGAGCAAAACATTGCAGAGAAATATCAGTGGATTCAGAGCTAGTTAAAAAAAAAAAAAAGGAAGAAAAACCTCATTTTGACCATTAACATGTACAGATTTTTAACATTTCCCCTGAGTAATGCTAACTATCCATTATTTAAAGTAAAAAACTAAAAGGAAAGAAATAACATGACACTAAGTAATATAAAAATAGATTTTTTTTTTTTTATAACATTCTGGTTTGAAATGTAGTTCTTGTTGAACAAAGGCTATTTTCAGAAGAGCACAGACAGGCAGAAGGGCAAACACAGACAAGGCCCCTGGTTGTCGTTTGCGTCTCCGCTCGGGATGGACAGTGTGACTGAAAGCAGTGTGGAGAGGAGAGGGTTGACTTGGATTACAGGTTACGGTTGTCTCGGAGGGAACCAAAGCAGCGACTCAAAGCAGGAACCAGAGGCAGGAACGGAAGCGGAGACCATGTAGGGATGCGCCCTTTGGGCTTCCTTCCTCCGGCTTGCTCAGTTAGTTACCTTTCTTATACAGCTCAGGCCCACCCGCTCAGGGATGGCAGCACCCACAGTGAGCTGGGTGCTCCTGCGTCAGTGAGCAATCAAGAAAATGCCCATCCGGCCAACGTGAGGGAAGCCATTCCCGACCCGAGCGTATGTCTGGGTTTGTGTCAAATTGGCAAAAACTCATCAGCACAAACTTCCAGCTGATTATTGTAATAACCATGCAGTTTAGAAATCATCCGGTTCATTTACCTTCGGATTTTTTTTTCTTCCACAACACAACACTCAAAATGAAGCCAGTGAAAGTTAGTATGTAGTAGTTTTTAAACTTTAAAAATATGTAGAGAATAATTGTAAATTACTGTATTTAAAAATGTACCTTACATTTATTTTAACATGTAAACCCACAATATGTACAGAAGACTGTAGTTATTATATTTAAAATGTGGTGACTAACTTTTTTTTAAAATTTTTTTTATTTTTATTTTGCAATACAATTCAGTGCTACATATCAGCCACGGATTCCCTTGTTCTCCCCCCTCCCGCCCCCCTCCCGTTCCCCCCATTCCCACCTCCTCCGGGGCAAAGCCTCCTCCGCGGACTGAGATCAACCTGGTAGACTCAGTCCAGCCAGGTAGGTCCAGTCCCCTCCTCCCAGGCCGAGCCAAGCGACCCGGCATAGGCCCCAGGTTTCAAACAGCCAACTCATGCAATGAGTACAAGATCTGGTCCCACTGCCTGGATGTCTCCCAAACAGATCAAGCCAATCAACTGTCTCACCCATTCAGAAGGCCTGATCCAGTTGGTGACCCCTCAGCCATTGGTTCATATTCATGTGTTTCCATTCGTTTGGCTATTTGTCCCTGTGCTTTATCCGACTAACTTTTAATGTGTTTAGGGACTAAGCAGTCTGGGAATAAACCCGCTTAGCTTTGGTGAGGAATGGACCGCCATGCTGCGATGGGCCGGTAGAGGGCGCAGTGTAATGGTCACACACTCCAGGGCCCCAGGACCAATCTGTTCTTTCAGAGTCTTCTCAGGCATCCTTCTTCCTTCCTCGGTGACATGAGGGTCTTCATGGTACGGAGGAGAAGATCCGCTTTTTTTTTTTTTTTTTTGGTTTTTCGAGACAGGGTTTCTTTGTGTAGCTTTGCGCCTTTCCTGGAACTCGCTTTGTAGCCCAGGCTGGCCTCGAACTCACAGAGATCCGCCTGGCTCTGCCTCCCGAATGCTGGGATTAAAGGCGTGCGCCACCACCGCCCGGCAAGATCCGCTTTTTATTTGTTTTGTTGATATTGAAATTCAAACTGAGGACCTCGCCTTTGCTTCTCTACTGGGCGGCAACACCAGCATTTCTAGGTTCTGTGACTTCAGAGTTGCATGCTAGTTAATGGGCCATTTCCTAACTCCCAGTGCTTTATAGAAGACGTGTAGGGTTCTCTGTAGGAACAGAATGTGTGTGTATGTGTGTATATGCAAAGGTGTGTGTGTGTGTGTGTGTGTGTGTGTGTGTGTGTGTGTGTGTGTGAGAGAGAGAGAGAGAGAGAGAGAGAGAGAGAGAGAGAGAGAGAGAGAGAGAGAGAGAGAGAGAGAGAGAGAGAGAGAGAGAACTATTTATTGGGTTGTCTTTGTCTTCCATGACAGGAGCCTGACCCAACAAGGTCCTTTGCCCTTTGAGCTCTGGAGAGGCAGAGAACCCAGTAGGTGCTCTGCCGGGAAGCCGGGTGCCTCAGTGGGTCCACTCAGATCCCGACAGCCTGGAGCCCTCCTGTAAGATGCTGATGTTGAGAAAGCCGAAGGTTTAGGAGGCTGACATCGGTGAGGGGAGATACATTCACCCAGGAGGGGATGAGGGCCGCACACGCGCACTTCTTTCTCCTTTGATCTCTGATGTCAGGTGCTTCCTTCTGGGAGGGGAGGGCGGGTCCTCACCCCACCCCCATAGTTACGCTCTCCAGAGACGTCCTCACAGGAATGCCCACTGTCTCCTAGATGATTCTAAACGCCATCAAGTAACAACAGTCGAGACCAAATACCAAAAATTCTTCCATTGTGACCGCTGCACTTCATAAATGACACCCCAGTACTTCTTTCTTTTAACTTTCTGCAAACATTTGGCATTTGATTGCTTACTCTGGAAACTTTGTATCCTTTGCCACAATCTCTTTTTTTTTTTTTTTTCTTTATGATTCCTTTGTGTTGCTTTCTGCGAATCTCAAGTTCTGAGGAATTTCATGTTATTGTTACTTTTAGTTCCTTATTTTATTTTTTTTATTTTTAAGATTTATATATATATATATATATATATATATATAGTGTTCTGCCTGCATGTACACCTGCACACCAGAAGAGGTCACCAGATCTCATCATAGATGGTTGTGAGCCACCATGTAGTTGCTGGGAATTGAACTCAGGACCTGTCCAACAGTTCTTAAGAGCAAGTCATAAGAAAGCAAAGGTTAGCTTTGTAGGACTACAGCCTACCTTTGGGCTTGCTGTGGTGGTCACTAAGACAAAAAAATCTCTTATTGAACTTCAAATATAAATGTTTAGAGATTTTTCTTTCCTCTCAGGGTGAGCAATACTCCCAAAGAAAGGCCTCAAACTTTGTATTGTAAAGAAGACTCTAGCTTCCTAAAGAGGACATGGGGTAGCTGAGTACCATGAGTCCAGGAGAAATGTTGACAACATCTTCATGCATTTATTTACTTGTTGTTAAAACAAAGGTTATACACTTGCCATTTTCCATACCCTGGAATCCCTGAGGCCTTCTGGCTCAGTTTCTCCTCAGAACAACTTTCTGTTTTATAAATATGAAAAAGGAATGTGTGAAAGATATTCTCTTATTTCCTTTTTTCTCTCTTTCTCTTTCTCCCTCCTTTCCTCTCTCATTTCAAGGTCATGATGGATGGCAGCCATATCCCAGGGCAGACTGTTTAATCAGCAGAGGTGGAAAAGGGAAGCTTGGGTCTATGTATTCCTGTCCATATTTCTGCTGACCCTTAACAGCTATTGTTATGAAGGGACCTATTACAGTTTCACACACACACACACACACACACACACACACACACACACACACACCCATCTTAAGTTCTTCTCCACAGATAATAGAAGCTCACTGATGAAGTTTTGAGACCAGTGCTGTTAGGTATTCTAGCCATTCCCTCATTACCAGATTCTAAAAACTGAACCCGAACCAAAATTTGCCTTACCTACAAACAAAAGCAAAGCAGATATTACCAGTTGACTTAAGGAAATCTCAGCTCTTAATATTTCCTTATTACTTTTCTTGAGAAGTAGATGTGGATTAACACAGATTTTTTGACAGGATGAGCTTCTACTAACTATGTATTTGAAATTTGAGATAAAATACATAATCTCTAGTGTTCACCATAGGATAATCAACTGCATCCTTCCTCTTCTGAGAAGAGGTTTTAGTTTATGTGGTGCTTTGAGTGAGAATGCCCCCTCCCCAAGCCTGTATGTTTGAATGCTTGGTCCCCAGTTAGTGCAACTGTTTGGGAAGGATTAGGTGTGGCCTTGTTGGATAGATGTGTCACTTGGGGTGGGCTTGGAGGCTTTAAATGCCCATACCAGACCTAGTGTGTATGTGTGTCTCTCTCTGCCTGCAACTTGTGAAACAGATGTGAGCTCTCAGGTACTGCTCTAGCATCATGCTGGCCTGCCTGCTACCATGCTCCCAGCCATGATATTCATGGACTCACCCTCTGAAAGCGTAAACAAGCTCCCCATTACACAGCCTCCTTTGTAAACTTTTTTTGATCATGGTGTCTTCTCACAATAATGGGACAGTGACTAAGACAGCTGGTTTCTTAGAGAGAGAGAGACTCCCTATGCAACAGTATCTTGAATAATTTTGATTTTATTGATGGGAATTTATAGGTTATATTTATTAATCATATCAATACATTTCACCAAGGTTAAGCATGTTAACTAGCACACTTTGGATAGTAGAGATGATAACAAAATTGCATTAGTTGTGTCTTGAGTAGGCACTCCTTTTTCATTCTGCCTGTGTACTACCCCATTGAACTTTCCTTGTTATTCTAGCTGATTATCATTGGGTTGACACCTTGTATTAGCTACTTGGGTTGTCGACTAAGTAGCATGCACCTCACCTCTCAGTCTCTTCAGGTTTTAAAAATAAAGTACATTAATACTGTGACACTCAACTTCTGTGGAAACTACACCAAGTAAGAACTGGCCTAAACGCTTCATTCGGCACTCACTGGCTTGATTGCATTGGTCTAATGTTGTTGATTGTTTTTTGCTCTTTACTCTTTGGAGGCTTACCACCCAGCTCCCAAATAAATACACAGAGGCTTTTTCTTATTTATAAATGCCTGGCCTCAGCTTGTCTTATTTCTTGCCAGCTTTCCTTAACTTAAATTATCCCATCTACCTTTTGCTTCTGGGCTTTTCCCTTTTCTCACTTTGGTATATCTTACTTTTCTCTTACTCAGAGGCTGGCTGTGTGGCTGGGCCTGAGCATCCTTTCTCTCCTTGTTCTCTTTCTTCTCCTCCTCCTCATTTTTTCCTTCTGTTTATTCTCTCTGCCTGCCAGCAAGGCCTATCCTTTCCCCTGCCTTGCTATAGGCCGTTCAGCCCTTTATGCTTTAGACAGGCAAAGTAACACAGCTTCACAGAGTCAAACAAATGCACCATAAAAGAATGCCACACATCTTTGCTTCATTAAAAAAAAAAATCCCACAGCATAAGCAAATGTAACACATCTTAAAATAATATTCTACAACAGTCTAACTTTTCTATGCTTTCTCTATCCTTCTAACAAACCATCCATTTTCTGTTGACAAAAAAAAATATCCCCCAAAAAACTGCTGACATCTATGTTCTGTGCTGTGTGTTGGCTCATTTTCCTTGTCCTAGATTTGTGCTCATTAAAAACTGTGCTGCCTCATATAGTAATGGGTAACAGGAGGGGCAGACAAGCTTAAATTATTTAAATCCTGTCTCTTAACACCATGGAACTTACTTTCTAAAAGATGAAGACTTTTTTTTTTAAATCATCTAGCTCATTTAGGCAATCTTGGAAAAATACAATTCTTACTGTTTTTTTTAAATAAAATCATAAAACAAAACCAACCAAACAACAAACAAACAAAAAAACCAACTGTGGAATTAATAGCTCTCAACATCATCCATCTCTTTATGTAGAAAAAAATGCTCTATAAACAAAAGCAATAAGTTAGAGAAATACAAGAAGCTAATTAGTTTGATGGACACAATTTTAGATTTCCCTGTGATTTAATAGGTGGTTTAGCAGGATCAACAAATTGAATTACAAATAAAATAATAGGAGATTACAGTAAGTCCTTCAATTGTTCTCTAAATAATTAATGGGGACGCTTACAAAATGGTTATTATTGTGATATTTAAGCAGTTGATTAGCAGA